CCTTTCGCGTAGAGGGGAGGCCGATACACAAAAGGTGCTGCGTGCCGCGTCTCGCGCCCATCGCGGCCGCGGTCGTGGTGCGGTGAGAGTGACGGGGTGGCGGCGCGACCGGTTATGCGACGCAGAAAGAAAGAGGTCAAATCGATTTTTGGGGAGTACAACTACTGCTGTGCAGTTGTGTGGTCTGTAATAGAACATCCTCCCGGCTACCAATCCGGCGCTCTCCTTTCTCGCGGAGGGAGACCGAGGCACGCAAGGTGCGGCACGCCGTGTCTCGCGCCCAGAGCGGTCGCGGTTGTGGCACATGAGTGATGCAGCAGAAGCAGTCAGAGGACGGAGGACACACTCCACTCTCCGCGAAAAAAAAAATGCAATCCATCCGCGTATGTGTACGTACGTATACTTCGAAGTATGTAACGTATGCACAGCAGTTGACACAGAAAGGTGCTAATACGAAGCAGCGTGCTCTTCTCTGTGTGTTCTGAATGATCTCGTGCTCTGTACATAATACTGGTTGTAGACGATAATACTTGCTGTTAGTCCCTTCATCCAAACAAATGGGTTGTGTGTCAGGAGAGATGTGACTTCCCGACAGATTCTTTCTGCAGGCAGGCGTGTGTTTGTTCCTGCCAAATCATAGAAAGAGAGAGTTAACACAGCAGTTACACAACATAATAGCAGAGCCACGAGGTCGCATTGGCTATACTTCACAATAAGAGTTCATGTTTTGAAAACTAACAAGGTGCCCCGGAAGATCATGCAGGCAAATGTTTCATGCAGGAAGAGATCCGTTCTTTGGTTTCTACCTGCCAAACTACACAGCACGTCATGCCTCCCATAAAATAGGATAGATGGAGAAATATCGCACAGCATTAACAACAACAGCAGCCCCGGCTCGGCCGTTTCTGGCTACGAAAAAAGGAAAGAAGTCAAGGGTGGATGCGCTGTAAAAGTAACTTCGGGACATACGCATACTATTGAGGGGTGTTCTTGCCGTGAACACAGAAGAAGACTTAATCGGGAAGAATGACCCATGATAGATCTCGGCTCCTTCCTGTGTGAAGCACACGTCTCGCACATCATTGATGGATAGATCGAAGTCACGCAGTGTTGGGTAGTGTTGGGTAGTGTTGGGTGGGATTGGGTTGGGTCGGTCGGTAGATCGGTCGATCGGGCAGCCTTGGGCCGCCTTCGTCGATCGCGCCGCCGTCGCTCCGTCGATCACCGCCGTCGACCGCCATTGTCGATACTGGCACAATTCCCACAAGCGACCGAAGACCACGGTAGATTCTAGCGTAGGAAGTCTTATCTCAACTGGGCATGTACTCTCACGATCAAGTTGACTATGCTTAAGCCTATTGCGTAAAGCTGGAACTTAACTCCAAGGCGACCTCATCGACAAGAGATGGGGTGCGTTCGGTTGACCGAACCCGAAGTGTTGGAATGTGAAGCGTGTGTTGTTTTCCCGGATTTTCAAGTATTATTTGTTGAAATTGGCCTAGAATCAGCAGATCGGTTGCCAGCACCGCCTTCAAGGAACTCTTCGGCACAGCACTAGTAACGAACGGGTACGTTCATGAGGTTGTCGAAAAAAGTGACGAGACTGGTGAACCCGCGTGCCTTCGGAGGGAGACCCACGAGTGAGAATCCATGCGCAACACGGCAAGGAAGGATCTGACGAACGGCGGTGTGCGGGGAAATCGCCCCGCTGCTTGGTTGTTTTCTTCGAGACAGCCGAACGTGTTTGGCCCGTCGGGAAGCCACAGCAGTAGTGGTCCGCACGAATACGGTCATTACTTAATCACGTGTAGGCCTCATCACTTTTTTTACGGAGGGGCGCACAGGACACAGCCGCAGCAAGGGAAGTGTGACGAGAAGCAAAACATGCACAATTGTCAGTTGCTGCCTGCCCACTACTGTGGACTCATCTTCAACTTTGGAAAAGCAACGCGCCATCAACACAACCACATTGCGACAACGGTGTCGATGCGCCCGCTATAGAGAAGGGCCATCGCCCACTCTCTTGGATGAGCTTACGACGATAGCAGTTAGCTACGCGGTATCGTACCTCTTGGCACAGGAAGTGGCGGCACACCCGCCTCGGCAGGCGCTCGGCGCGCAAGAAGCCAGCCTGGTGCCCGCTGCCGTCCACCATCACGCTCGCTCCCTTGGCGCAGAGATGTTCGAAGCAGACGCTGCACTCGCCATACCCGGCGGCGATCTCCAAGTCCATCGTGCTCATCCACTGATTCCTGTGAGTGTTTCTCTGCCTAGCAGCGAGGTAAGTAGGCTGGCTGTTGCAGGCAAAGCAAAGACAAGAAGAGTGCCGCCCATGCATGGAGGGCCCTTCACCACCCAACCCCAGTAACGTATAGGATTTAGAGTAGGATGTACTGCTGTATTAGGAAGAAATTAACGGCGTGGTTCCAATATTTTGAAAAAGGAGTTGAGGAAAGTGATGGCCGTACATATGCGAGAAAAGTCAGGGGACAGGATTTCTGTAGCCCCGCATACATCGGAGCACAACGCGCCGCGTTTGCTCTACGCTGGTTGGTTCGTCAGTGCAGGACGCTCATGAGCTGTTCCCTCGGGTACAGCTCGGGTAGGCTAGGTGTACTACTACTGCTGAGCTGCCACTGCTGGTTCTGTGCGATCAGTCACAGCGATGGTAGCAGGAGAAGGGAGCAGGCCCCTGCCCTGCCTGCAGACTACCCATTGTTGTGGTTTGGTCGCAGCAGCTTCCCTGCTGCATACGTATCTAAGGAGCTACAAAGCTGTCGGCTGGCTACTGCAGCAGTAGTCTATCTAGACGTCGGGACAAGTCAGTCGTTGGGGGGACGGCGCGACTGAGAATAAACGGGAAGTCCATGAGTTGGAGCTTGTTTGTGGGCAATAACGTCCTCGGAGCTTGCCAGGCAGCGCAACTCCAACTACTGGTGTAACTCCAGGGGGTAGCAAACAGCTGGGTTATTCCCAAATAACAGCAGTAGTGCTACCCGCGCGCCGTGTGCCGTGTGACCGTATTGCAATATCCTCGTCCTCGCACCCTCCCCATCCGTGTACTCGTACATACATGAAGATGACTACTGTTGTAGACTACACCACATTTGTCATGGTACTACATACACACTCGATGATGATGACGATGCGTAATAATCTGCACAGCAGTCCACCGTGGTCAAGTCCACCGTGGTCTCACGTACCGTGCGCCGTCATATGTACATGTGTTCAATATCTTATCCCTTCCACCGCCGAGCCTTACTCGCTAAGTCTACATCTTGTCCCTTGCAGCATCCCCGTACGTGCGTTGCTTGGTGAGAGAAATTTAGTCGAACACGAACAAGATGACAACTATAGGTCCTACAGCAGCTGTACTTGTGTTGTACATGCATGTCATGTGTACAAACGGCAACTAAACTGCCTGGTGGTTGAAGCGGGTGACACAAAGCATGTAATAACCGCGTGCGTTCTCGTACATCGTACGTTTCTTCGTCCATTTTTATATCTATCTGAGTCAGCTGAGCGGCGGGAAAGTACAACTGCATGCATGCTTGCATGTTTGGATGGAGAACGACACCCCATATGCATGCACGTGTACTACTGTAGTAAAGACAAACTACAACATGCCCCAAATATTCAAAGTTTGGTGAGCGCGGGCGATCGACGAAGATTGGAAAGCGAAACACTCACCTCAGCAACAAATCAATTCAATTCAACTCGGTTTGGAGTCTATTGACGGGTATTTCCCTACTCCATCCTGCTCTTCCTGTACCTCGTACCAGCCAGTGTACCAGCCAGTGTTCGTTTCTATTTCTCGCACGTCTATCATCTGTGGGGACTTAGTTGTCTTATCCTCTCTGCGATATATTATAGAAGTAGATGGTGTGTGGCGACGACGGAAGGTATCCGCATCATTAATGGGCACGTAATGGAGACCGTCCGACTTATGTGATGTACATCAGGCCGTATGTTCCAGGTCGTATGCATCACATGGTATGCACAGAAACCCTCGCGAAAGGGCCCTTGAAAAAACTAAAAAACAGGGTTGGTTGTCGTGTCGGCCACCACCAGCAGTACGGCCACCCAAGGAAAACGCCATTGCTCTTTAGGCTGTCCATTTCTCCCATGTTTTTTTTTCCCCAACGTTGGGTACACCCATTCACCGGTGTGTAAAATGACGGATTGGGCCCGGCACTCATACTCATCGCGCGGCACACTTTCGGGTGCCATCTCAATCCGAAAAAATGCCGAAATGTTTTTCGATGCCCCCCGTGTCCCCCACTCTCGGGTGGGGACGCGCCCGTTTCCAACGTGTTCCGGTCGACGTTACCCAGAAAAACAGTAGTCTTCGTGCCCACCGACCATCTGGACGGGTCGGGCACGCAAAAATCGCACACCCTGCTCTCGTGCGGGCGCCTGTTGCGTGAGTCAGTCGCGCGTGCCAAATTCCGATTGGTACTCCGATTGGTACCGTACGCGACTTTGGTTAGGGGCAGGATAACAAGACAGGAAACGCCATGTTTCGATTATTTCGCCCAAGTTTCTCGGTAGCGAAGCTTGACTATCTGTTTGTGCCCCTCAGGTTGGTGATCAACCATCCAAACACGCACCCAAGTCCTCCGGGCACCCAAGTCCTCCGGGAGCACACCAACCACGCCTTGGTCGGCAATAATTTTTCCAAGCCGACTTCACCTCACGCGGCCCTGGTGCACGCCGTCGCTCAATGGGCACAAGAGTCGGTTTCGACATGAGTTCGTGTTTTTTTTTCCCGTGGGAATCTTTGCCCTCGCACTCTGCATACGCACACCATGGCCCAGATAACGAAAAACAAACGCGGCGACCAGCGCCCTTGGGCAAAACCACTGCTCGATTGTAGTTGTCATTGAGTTGTCACGACCGACGGCCACCAGCAGTACGGCCACCCAAGGAAAACGCCATTGCTCTTTAGGCTGTCCACATCTCCCATGTTTTTTTTTCCCCAACGTTGGGTACACCCATTCACCGGTGTGTAAAAAGACGGATTGGGCCCGGCACTCATACTCATCACGCGGCACGCGTTCGGGTGCCATCTCAATCCGAAAGAATGCCGAGAAGTTTTTCGATGCCCCCCGTGTCCCCCACTCGCGGGTGGGGACGCGCCCGTTTCCAACGTGTTCCGGTCGACGTTACCCAGAAAAACAGTTGTCTTCGTGCCCACCGACTATTTGGACGAGTCGAGCAAGCAGACATCTTGGCTTATTGTGGATGTCCAACCTGAGTTGGGTACCCTTACGGCGCATTTCCGACAATCACAACAACGCCGGTGTTTGCTAACCACGTCATTTTTTTTCACGTGATGAGTGCAAACGCTTTGTTTCACACCTTTTCGAGTGCAAATGTCCCGCTGTATCACCAACGACAACCCTGAAGAATATATCATGTGAACATACGCACACCAGAAGCGTTGTGGCCTAGCCCCTGGTTTAGGCCCGCTTCACAGTACAATCCAGCATGCACGCGAAACAGGAGCCACGGGCAGAGGAGGACAAGAATGCTCGAAAATTTCAGCTCCTAAGAAGCACTCGCTACACCATGCATCGCTGCGTCGGGGACCGACACGCACACCACGGGCCCAACAAGGCGAAACAACACCAGACCATCTCAAACTGAATCTACAATTGTACACAACGGGCGTGTGCCCTGAAAGACGTCATTGGATCACCACCGTATGCATCACCCACCTTAAACACGGGTTGAAATCCGCAAACACACGAACCCGACTGTGGAGTACACGCTAAGCGGAAAGTGGTGGCACTAGCAAGGGTTTGGCGGTCGGTGGTCAACCCGTCAACAAACATAATACATTCCAATACCTCGCATATGCACCTTGCACGTCCACCAAAGCACCACGTCCCACGCGACAAATTACAAAACGCCTGCCCGGCCGAACTATCAATCGGATACCTTTCNCACGAACCCGACTGTGGAGTACACGCTAAGCGGAAAGTGGTGGCACTAGCAAGGGTTTGGCGGTCGGTGGTCAACCCGTCAACAAACATAATACATTCCAATACCTCGCATATGCACCTTGCACGTCCACCAAAGCACTGCGTCCCAAGCGACAAACTACTAAACGCCTGCCAGGCCGAACTATCAATCGGATACCTTTCAGACTTTCGCCCACCTCCAACTCTTCAGGCACAATCCCAACGTGAACAATACTCTACCATGCTTTCCCCCATTCTGCAATACTCAAGCGGTCGACCCCAGCACCGTAGCAAGCATGACAATGTCCACCCTCCCCAGGCAGTCGAATACGCGCATGACGGGCTTCCCGCAAAAGCACCTGCCGCACCTCCACAGGGCGGCTTCACAGCCAGCAAAGCTATCTTTTGGGTGTTCCGTGACACTTGCTAAAAGCGTCCTCAGGGTTTTTCTGTTGAACCCCTGGTTTTGGCGCTCGTTGATCACCCTTAGCGCGAAAGTGAAGTTGGAAAATATCAAGGTATTGAGCGATCAAAGGTACAACGCCTTCTTCGAATGGTCCTGTTCGTGCGGGTTCAGGTTGATCCCGGCAAGCTCATCACA